TTAAAAGATGGTACTTGTTAATACCCTGTCTGGCGCTCGGCATTAAGAGGTTAAAACAAGGACTGGTCGGCTCGGAGTCAGTATACTGTGTCAGAGTGGGGTATTCATGTGAAACTGCAGCATGGTATCTCAGTGGGCTAGCTCTATAAATCGGCATCAGTCCGGACTAGTATCGGCATCAGTCCGGACTAGTACAAGCAGACACACACACACACACACACACACACACGCACACGCACATGCACGTCTCTCTATAAGTGCGATAATCTTTGACGCCACGTTAAACCCCATTTCACCTTACCTAAACTTTGTCGCGATATCGTGTGAATATCTCAGGACGATATGGCGATGGCCCCTCTCACCCACCATACATTTTCAGGATCTCATAAATACTCCTGAAAACTCTAAATAAATGCCCCTTTATTCTGCTGAGTCTTTTCCATCGCCAATCCTCTCTTTAACATGTGATCAACAGAGCAGCCTTGTTGGATGTTTCGTTAGTGATTTGTCGGGATCGAAACTGTTTATCAGTAACTTCGTCATGAACATTAACATGTGTTAGTTCCGCTTTCTTGATTTACAATGCAAGGACCTTTCCATGCTCGCACCTCTCCCATTACACTAGCGTTGTCTACCACTTGTGCACTCTACAGTACAAGACCGTCAGAGTTAAACATCAGGAATGATTTCCTCAAGGTTGTCTGCGCCTGCGCCTGCGCGTGCGCGTGTCCGCCCGTTCAGCCGTCAGTGCGCGCGCCTATACACATCGCATAATTCCTTTGGGGATAAAGGGGTTTTAACAATTCTTTGAACGTTTTTGGGTACTCCAGTGCATTTAAAGCCATTTCTCTAGGAGATTTGGTAATTTTATATTCTGATAATGATGTTCCACTGAGTACGAACACACACACACACACACACACACACACACACACACACACACACACACACACACACACACACACAGATGTTTTAGTTTCATCTAGGGCAAAAACAAAATCTGACTTTGGGTAACAAACAGCTGTGGGTGTGTGCAGCGAACGAAGCGCTCATAAAATACCAGAATCTCGACGTCGCACAACATTCATAGAGTAAGTGTGGGATGCAGGTCGATGCAGTTCAAAAGATGACGGATTAAAACCTTCCATTGGTATGTTAGTGGTTTGGTGACGAGTTTAGTAGATCGGCTAGCTTCCCTCCGACCTACTAAACATTGTTTAGGGGATTTACAATCCAAGTAAAACAACAGCAGCTCTACTCGTCCTAGTTTCACTGACATATCCAGCTTCATTTGAGTTGTGTATGTTTGATCAACACATGCATCACGCAAAAAAATATTCAGCATTTATAAGTCGTTTAAACAATACATTTTACACCTGGTATGAAGACTTTTTGGGTTTAGATGGTGGAGATTTTCCATGAAAATATATCTGATGCTTGTACGTTCACACTACTCTTCAAAGGGTAAAACATGAAAGGTGACTTCGATGTTGCAACAGTTTACAATAAGCAATAATTATTTTCTGTGAATAGAGGACAGACACAACTTCAGCATGAGGCATGTCGAGCGAACAGTTTACTTTTGGAGATAAAATCCGGCTCAGTCGTCTAAGGCGCCGCGATTCGATGTGCAGAGTTGCGTCCCTTTGGCACGCCAGAAACATATGATTGTGGGTTCGAATCCCGGTTCGCCCCGATTAGGTTTCTAGGTTTGTCAGCACCATACACGTGCTCGTGGGTTTAACCGAAGTGGTAAACGTCTGAGACCTGCATCACTTCGGGCTTTCCTCCCACTTTAAGCTGACACGCCGTGATATAACTGTAATACTGTTAAAAGCGGCGTTAAAACCAATCTCATTAAAATCAGATCTTAGTTCTCGCTATGCTTAGTTCTCGCTATGAACGACCTTTCGCGATTTTTGACCGACCAATGAAATGACAGGAAATCGACATTAGCCAATCAGAAGGCAGCTTTCTCGAGCTTTGCGACACGAGTTTCAAACTGGCGACTACGCTTCGAAAGATATTTTGACGTATTCTCGATTAAAAAAAATAAAAACTGATAAGAAGAACAGTCTGGAATGACTTATAGATGGCCTAGATTGTATGGATATAATCATAAAACCCGTAACTGTCGTTCGGAATCCTCCGTGTTAAATATTTCGTGGTTGCATGATTAGAAAACACATTCCGACTGTCACTTTCATGATCTGGTAAGCGACGCTCTGATTGGTTGGATGAAAGGTGGTTCTGACGTGACCCTTAATGGGATGTCCTCAGATCTTTGTTTCGCGGTAGCGAAAACTAAGATCTGATTTTAATGAGATTGCGTTAAAACTCACTCACTCACTCACTCACTCACTCACTCACTCACTCACTCACTCACTCACTCACTCACTCACTCACTCACTCACTCACTCACTCACTCACTCACTCACTCACTCACTCACTCACTCACTCACTCACTCACTCACTCACTCACTCACTCACTCACTCACTCACTCACTCACTCACTCACTCACTCACTCACTCACTCACTCACTCACTCACTCACTCACTCACTCACTCACTCACTCACTCACTCACTCACTCACTCACTCACTCACTCACTCACTCACTCACTCACTCACTCACTCACTCACTCACTCACTCACTCACTCACTCACTCACTCACTCACTCACTCACTCACTCACTCACTCACTCACTCACTCACTCACTCACTCACTCACTCACTCACTCACTCACTCACTCACTCACTCACTCACTCACTCACTCACTCACTCACTCACTCACTCACTCACTCACTCACTCACTCACTCACTCACTCACTCACTCACTCACTCACTCACTCACTCACTCACTCACTCACTCACTCACTCACTCACCTGAGCACATTGTACTGTTTATTCCGTTAATAGAAACCGGACACTTGTCTTATAGACTCCATACTCGCAGCGCTTCGATCAGGATAGGGTTACGACTATTTCATTGTAAAACGTAAAGACTTTGTATTTACTGGATATCTATTTTACCCAGATTCTAGGTTTTTTTAAGCCGCTGAAACAAATGTTTGCTGGGATGATTTAAAAAAAATTAAGATCTCTTGTTAATCCGTCGGGATTGCGGGTGAGAATATAGGTTCCCCAGCAACCCATGCGTATCGTGAGATGTGACTAAACGGCTCAAACAGGCTCGCTGATTTGGATGATGCGTGTAATCGTATCCCAATTACGTCGATTGATGCTCATGCTGTCAATCACTGGTTCTTCTGCTCCTGACTCGATTATTTACAGACCGCCGTCATGTAGCTGTAACATTGCTGAATGAAGCGTTCAACAAGAAACATTCTACCCCCGACAAAGGCAGATTTGGCATCGCTCGATAGGAATAGAGCTAGCTAGAGCTAGCTAGACTTGCTTTTGTGTACGTTTCTAGACGTTTTTGTATTCGTTTTATTTTCATAAAATAAATATATTCCACAGTAATAGTGAAGGACTACCGTTGTCACAGTAGAGATGGTTAAAATTAAAGTTCATATTTAAGTGAACAGATTTCTGGTCAATAAATGAAATATGTAATATCCGCTCGAATTATATTGTAGTTTGTGGGTATACGGCAATAGTGTTACACGAGGAACAGTAACACCTAATAATTATAGCCAGGGTGAATCAACTGACAGTTCAATATATTATCATGTATTTAGTGATTCCTCTGTTCAAACATTTTAAAACCTGACTCAAAACCCTGTTATAAAACCGCTATGTTCCTATGCCGAAGGAACATTGGTGCAGAATAAGCACCCATTTACCTCGAGCTTGTCAACGTCATTTCGGGACCACTCGCCCCTTTCCGGAACATGCAAGAACGTCATTCGGCTAGTCCCGTCGTACTCCGACGTCGCGGATCCGATCGATGCTGATGCCGTCACCCCATGTGTATACCTGTACAGTTTGTGGGCGTTACCACCTCAACTGTATCGTCTCTGGGAATAGCGAGCACAGTGGGTGCTAGTGTCCTGTCTATAGATCAATCCCTGAGTCGTGGAGTATCAACGACTGGTGGGCGTGAAGAATACATTATATGTGCTTGGTTGTTGCTACTCCTATAAGACCAACTTTCAGCAGTTACCTGGCTATGCCACGCCACACCACACCACGATACGCAACGCTGACGTTAATCAGCCACGTCGCTGCCACACCACGCAACAAAACGCCACGCCACACCTCCACGTCACTGCCACCACCATGCCACGTCACTGCCACACCACACCACACCACGCTGACGTTAATCAACCACGTCACTGCCACGCCACACAACAAAACGCCATGCCACACCTCCACATCACTGCCACACCACGTCACTGCCACCACCATGCCACGTCACTGCCACACCACGCCACGCCACGCCATGCCACGTAAAGCAACGCAACGCTGACGTTAATCATCCACGTCACTGCCCCCACCATGCCACGTCACTGCCACACCACACCACACCACACCACACCACACCACACCACACCACACCACGAAACGCTGACGTTAATCAACCACGCCACTGCCAGGCCACGCCACGCCAAACCACGTCACTGCCACCAGAATGCCACGTCACTGCCACACCATGCCACGCCACGCCACGCAACGTTGACGTTAATCAACCACGCCACGCAACGCCACGCAACGCCACGCCACGCCACGCCACGCCACGCCACGCAACGCCACGCCACGCCACAGCTCATGCCGCTTGAAGCAGTATATGAAGTTCAGGTTTATTTTCAAATCTAGCTGCGTGGACCATAAACTCTGAATCAATACCAAGATCAAAATAAGACACAGTTTTCTCAATTACAAGTCTCCACAAATAACTCAGCTGGAATATTATTTTATGTGCATGTTTGGATGTTTGCCTCGGACAAATACAGCGTGCCTCGGACCAATACAGCCTGCCCCGGGCCAGTACAGCCTGCCTCGGGCCAATACAGCGTGCCTCGGACCAATACAGCATGCTCCGGGCCAATACAGCCTGCCTCGGGCCAATACAGCCTTCCCCGAGCCAATACAGCATGCTCTGGGCCAGTACAGCCTGCCCCGGGCCAATACAGCATGCTCCGGGCCAGTACAGCCTGCCCCGGGCCAGTACAGCCTGCCTCGGGCCAATACAGCATGCCTCGGACCAATACAGCATGCTCCGGGCCAATACAGCTTGCCTCGGACTAATACAGCCTGCCTCGGACCAAAACAGCCCCACGGGCCGATACAGCATGCTCCGGGCCAATACAGCATGCCCCGAGCCAATACAGCATGCTCCGGGCCAGTACAGCCTGCCTCGGGCCAATACAGCATGCCTCGGACCAATACAGCATGCTCCGGGCCAATACAGCCTGCCTCGGACTAATACAGCCTGCCTCAGACCAATACAGCCCAACGGGCCAATACAGCATGCTCCGGGCCAATACAGCATGCTCCGGGCCAATACAGCATGCCCCAGGTCAATATAGTTCCTCTAGGCCCTTTTGCCAGGCTAATATGAAACCCTCAAACAAATATGTCCACGATGTATTACGTGAGCAGATGTAAGGTTGAATGCACAGGTTGATTTGCATAGTTAATGTTAGTGAAAGTGTTATTTAGTAGGTAATAAACACTTTAACGTGCAAACAACAGCTTCCTTGGGGAGAAAGAAGCACTCATGTGTCACAGTGAGCGTTGTATTCAAGTGCTGTGTCGCTGATGATAGCACTTAAAGAGTGTACGTACGGCTTACCGTAGTTATTATATTTCGTTGAACTAAATAAGTGTGTCATTGTTTTGAGATTTTTCAAAACTGTGTGTGTGTTTTCAGCTCTCTGCTTCACTAAAGATCAAAACGTGGAATGCCACCCATTAACGTACGTAGGTACATACTAGATTTGACCAAGTCTCCTTCTTACAGAATGTAGGGCAGCAATGTGTATTGGGTCAACGTTAGTGACAGGTGGACGTTCGCTTGACATAGTTGGAACGAAGTTGCGGATGTCATGTTAAGGCCTTGCCTGACATCAATAGACCAAAGGTGGTGATTGCTTGACCCTTGGTCTGATTTAAATGCACCAAAGGTGGTCATTGGTTGACCCTTGGCCTGATTTAAATGCACCAAAGGTGGTGATTATTGACCTTCACCTGATATTGTTGAGGACACGTTGACCACTGGTTCCCCTTGACCTGATACTGTTGAGTCTCTGTTGACGATTAGTTGACCTTGACGTGATAGTATTGGTACGCGATATAAAATCGCAATTGCACAATAATTTAAAAAAAGAACAGTGGCCGTTCTTTGAGACCCAGGTTGACGTTTAGTTGACCTTGACTTGATGGTATTGGTACGCAATATAAAATCGTAATTGCACAATAATTTTAAAAAAACTGGCCGTTCTTTGAGGCCCAGGTTGACGATTAGTTGACCTTGACTTGATGGTATTAGTACGCAATATAAAATCGCAATTGCACAATAATTTAAATGAAAACAGTGGCCGTTCTTTGAGGCCCAGGTTATTTATTATTATTCAAGGCACTAAATCACTTTGAGACATAAAGACACAGTACATTGTAATGGCGATCCACATGCATGTTCGAAATATCTGGATATACCTTAACATCGAATTCTAAATAGAGGGAAAATCAGAGTAACTTTATCTGAAACAACTATCTCATGATGAATCTCGTGAAGACTAAATACAATATAAACTTTAGACAAGTCATCGACTCAATGGATAGCTAATCTTCATGAACACTATGTCCACATTGTGTTCATGATTCACAAAGCTCCAATGGAAATGGACACGCATTTCGTGAAGATCCCTTCATGAACAGAAAGACTTGCACTGAAAGGTGAAGTCTTATCGAGAGCCTCACAGTTCGGCAATAGCTTATAAAGTGGTGGTGAAATGGGGTCAACGCGCGCGTGCGTGCGTGCATACGTGCATGCGTGTGCATATGTGTGTTACAATTTAACATAGATACCCAACGCACTTTAGTTTAGTATACAGAGCCGAACAGTCCTTGTTTGACACTCCCCCAATGCCGAGCGCCAGGCTGAGTGCTGAGTGAGAACAAGTTCTATCTGCTAACTTATGTTGGTATGACCTCACCAGGGATCGAACCACAAACCAGACGCCTTATCCACAAGGCCACGGAATAAATTATGAGGCAAGCCAAATGCTTCTGATGTCTGCTTCGTCAGTTCATCCCAGGCAGAATAGTTCGCTAACAGCATGTCACAGAAACTGACTACAAGGATGAGGAGGCGGAGGATGACGAGGAAATGAAAGGGGGAGAAGGACAAGAAGGAGGAGATATTGTGACAGGAAGGAGGAGAGGAGAGGAAAGGAGAAGGACAAGAAAGAGAGAAAAGGAGGACAAGAAGGAGAGGAAAGGGGAGGACAAGGAGGAGAGGAAAGGGGGAGGACAAGGAGGAGAGGAAGGGAGAAGGACAAGGAAGAGGCGAGGAAAGGAGGAGAGAAGGAGGAAGTGGGGAAAGGAGGGGGACAAGGAGGCGAGGAAAGGGGGAGGACAAGGAGGAGAGGAAAGGGGAAGGACAAGGAGGCGAGGAAAGGGGGAGGACAAGGAGGAGAGGAAAGGGGGGGCAGAAGGAGAGGAAAGGAGGGGGACAAGAAGAAGAGGTGGAGAGGAAAGGAGAAGGACAAGAAAGAGAGGAAAGGAGGAGGACAAGAAGGAGAGGAAAGGGGGAGGACAAGGAGGAAAGGAAGGGAGAAGGACAAGGAAGAGGCGAGGAAAGGAGGAGAGAAGGAGGAGGTGGGGAAAGGAGGGGGACAAGGAGCAGACGAAAGGGGGAGGACAAGGAGGCGAGGAAAGGGGGAGGGCAAGGAGGAGAGGAAAGGGGGGGCAAGAAGGAGAGGAAAGGAGGGGGACAAGGAGGAGGCGATGAAAGGGGGCGGACAAGGAGGAGGCGAGGAAAGTGGGTGGACAAGGAGGAGGCGAGGAAAGGAGAAGGACAAGGAAGGGTCGAGGAAAGTGGGTGGACAAGGGGGACATGAAAGGGGGAGGACAAGGGGGGACAGGAAAGGGGGAGGACAAGAAGGAGAGAAAAGGATGAGGACAAGGAAGAGGCGAGGTAAGGGGAGGACAAGGAGGCGAGGAAAGGAGAAGGACAAGGAAGAGGCGAGGAAAGGGGGTGTCCAAGGAGGCGAGGAAAGGAGAAGGACAAGGAAGAGGCGAGGAAAGGAGGAGGACAAGGAGGAGGCGAGGAAAGGAGGACAAGGGGGCGTGGAAAGGATGAGGACAAGGAAGAGGCGAGGTAAGGGGAGGACAAGAGGAAAGGATGAGGACAAGAAGGTGAGTTGGAGAGGAAAGGATGAGGACAAGGAGGAGAGGAAAGGGGGGGACAAGGAGCAGGTGAAGCAAAGGGCAGGAGAAGGAGTAGGACAAGAAGGGGGAGGCTGGGAGGAGGAGAAGGACAAGGGGTGGCAGAAGGTGGCGGAGAAAAAGGAGTAGGGGATGAGGAGGGGAGAAGGAGGAGTAGGACAAGGAGGAGAAGAAGGTGGAGGAGAAGGAAAAGAAGGAAGGGGAAGAAGAAGGACGAAGATGGGGGAGGAGGTTGTGAATGAGAAGGACAAGGAGGAGCTAGTTGTGGAAGTAGAAGGAGAATGGAGAAGGAGAATAGTTCGCCAACAGCACATGCATGGTACAGAAATTGACTACAAGGAGGAGGAGGTGGAGAAGGAGGATAAGGAGGAGAGGAGGAGAAGAAGGGGGATGACGAGAAAGGAGGGGAAAGAGGGGGGAGAAGGACAGCATTAGTTTTGGTCACCGCTTCAGAACAGGTAATTTGTTGCTAAAAGTTGCACTATTTTCAAAACAATCTTTTTTTCAGGAAAGCGAACATTTTTTATTTTTTTTATTTAATTTTATTTATTTTGGGGGAGGGGTGGGGTCATGATGCTTTTTTCCATCTACTTCTAGAACAAATCATATTTTCAAAATTTCAAAACAATCTCTGCCCCAAACAATGTCATATGGTCGGTACCTCACTGCATCGCGAATAGTGGCGTTTTTGCGTGAGCCAGGTGTATATCGCTTAACGACTACTCCCATCGTCATTTGTGCAAACATTACACCGCCGACAGACAACGACAGATTACCATAGTAAGTTTATTTAAACGACCGTTATACACCACCCTTTAGACACAGGATCACGTTCAGTCAACCGCAAATCAGCGCTTAGACTTAGGGTGAGTGTGTGAGTCTCAAGAAGGTTTCACGCAACTTTTAGGTAAATTGTCGGGCAAAAGAAAGTATCCATCCATGTTTGATGGTGCCTAAAAACGAAACAAACAAGAAATGGTTATTCGATGATGTAAACATTTGATACGGTTATCAAGGTTGTCTTTTGGACCTCACGTTAGCAGCGTTTCGGCGATTGTTTTCATTCCAGTAACGTTTTGATAACGTTTGCATTTTTTGGGGTCAAATTCCAATTTTCAAGTATCCCCGTGTTGTGGGTTTTCGGACGCTTAAGAAACATTTGTAGTTTTCTCTATAATCACGTGAACAACTGTAAAACATCTCAATCACTTATAAAAGACAACTTTCTCTAAATATGAGCCTTCATCTGAATTTTTGCAATGTCAGTGTGGTGCTAGATCTCCCGTTGTAGCGCGAGTAATCGCGAGAAACATGGCCGTCCGAAAACGTGTGACGTCCGAAAACCTATGACCCGACGATATATACATTTGTTCGGCAGTTTCATTCAAGTCACAGTGCTGGTGAATTAATGTTGAATGAGTTGGCCTTACACCGCTTTGAACATGTTGAATGTAAAGAAAGATAAATGCTTGAATGTGTGTTTGCCAGTGTTATGAACGTGTATATAAGGAGTAACGGTGGTCGTGGAGCTCAGACTGCTTTGTAAAAAGGGGTTTAATCTTTCAAAAAGAGTATTGTTGTGTTATTTAATTCATGAATTACACAGTAGCGTGTAGGAACCCTGAAAAGCATGTGGCGAGAAGCTCACAGGCACATGACGTCAAAATGGGTGGTGACGTCATTATCTACTTTGACGTCACTGAATCTGACGTCAAAAATGTATTACGTCACAAAATAGGTCGTCTATGTGAATCTTTCTTCTCAATCATCCCAATTATTGGCAAGCTCCTCACAGCGATAGTACGTTCCCGGAGCTCTCTATACTATCGCTGCCACCAGTCAAAACTCCCCACTGTGAATAGGTGGCCACAACCATGCTTGGAGTTGAACTCGCAACCGAATGACCGTTATGTTTACAAACAAGTGACGACTGTCGTGACGCCGAATACACTTATCGCTGCTAAAATACTTTCTTCGTTTGTCAATTTGAATTTCTGTTTCATTAAAACTATCGTGTTATTGATATAGTAAGAATGTAAGGGAGAAATTGGTTGATTTTCCGTTAGTCTGCAATCTCGAACCAATCTGATTACCAAAACAACAAAGTAAATTCATTTGGAAAATATGGTCAGTCGTAAACCTTTTCAAATTGAAATATGATGGCATTCCCAAAGACATAAACAAAAGTATAAACATTACTACATATGGGGTTGGAGGGCAAATTTCAAGATTCTTGAAATGGCCGCGCCCACACTGGTGGCAGCGATGTTACCGAGAGTGTAACGAGGGTGTCACGCGCTGGGAAGGAGCTTGAATTATTGGCTGCCACGGGAGGTTACAAGCTGAAAAAGTTGACAGAATTATTTTGGATGATAAATAGAATCTTAACCTCGTGTCTTTTGATATCAAATATATCAACACACGGAGTTTCAAACTTTAATTGACTCGTGTTGATATATTTGATATAAAAAATACAAGGGTGTGTTATTTGTAACCATAACCAAATAGTTTGCTTGTTTGTTTTGTTAATTGTTTACAAAATGCGGCATTCGACAATATTCAACACCATGGCGGCGGTCTACAGGTAAGTAATCGAGTCATGTCCAGACAAACCAGTGATTGATATCGGGATCACGCCGTCAGGAATGAAAGTGGTCTCAAGGACGGAGTTTATGTTGTTAACGCCGCTGTCATGAAAAGTACAATATATAATGGCGTGCGGCCCGGTATCAATCTCATTAAAATCAGATCTAAGTTCTCGCTGCCGCTAAGCAAATATCTGAGGACATCCCATTACGGGTCACGTCAGAACGACCTTTCGCGAACTTTGACCGATCACTGAAATGACAAACAAGAAGTCGACGTCAGCCAATTAGGAAGCAGCTTTCTCGATCTTTACGGCACTCGTTTCTACCTGGCGACTTCCATTTCAAACTACGCTTGAAAAATATGTTTACACAGTTCTCGATTAAAATTTTGAAAAGTGAGCTAACGAACATTCCGGAATGTCTAATAGATGGTTGAGATTGTATAGCAGTGCTTCTCACATACTGCGCAACGCCTCCTCTGTTAAAATGTTTATCCCATGGAAGCGAGAGACAGACAAAAAGTTTGACAGAATCAGTCGAACGGGCCGAAACTGTCGTTCGGAATACCCCCTGTTAACGTTTTCGAGGTTGCATGATTAGAAAAGACATTCCAACAGTCACTTTCATGATCTGGTAAGCGACGCTTTGATTGGTCGGATGAAAGGTCGTTCTGACGTGACCCGTAACGGGATGTCCTCAGATCTTTGCTTAGCGATAGCAAGAACTAAGATCTGATTTTAATGAGAATTGGTTGACCAAAGTTGGCAATCGAACCCGAAAGTGGCTGTCGACCACTCGCACGTGCTAACTTAAGCATCCCGTTTAATGGCAAAGAAAGGGATTTAAACAGAAGTTAAGGGTAGCAAGACCGCTCGTAAAATCCGGAGAAATTGTTTACTATTTGAGAAATTGTTTACTATTTTTTTATACTTTTTGCTTTGAAGATAATTTAAAGATTTGTAATTATCACAAGGATATGTCTTTCTTGAAAGTGATAGTGTGGAACTGAGAGCACAGATAAATACTTAATGTATCGTAGTCATGGCAACGTGTGACTACATTTAGATTAACACAAAACATAATGCGAATTTAAAACATGTTCCTCCATCGTGTTCAGTGACATTGACACCATATGCATTGATTATTTACATAGAGGTTTTGAGGATCGGACACCTTATGGGATTATTATTATATGAAGAATAGTTCTCTTTGCACAGCAAGGTACGTTCTTTCGTTAGACGTTCCGACGACCAGTTGTCCTTTTCCTCTCGGGGGGCACGGGTGGCCCAGTCGTCTAAGTCGCCGCGATTCGCTGTGATTGTGGGTTCGAATCCCGGTTCGCCCCGATTATGTTTCTAGGTTTGTCCGCACCATACACGTGCTCGTGGGTTTCACCGAAGTGGTAAATGTCAGAAACCTGCATCACTTCGGGCTTTCCTCCCACATTAAGCTGACACGCCGTGATATAACTGGAATACTGTTAAAAGCGGCGTTAAACCCAACTCACTCACTCACTTTTCCTCTCGTTATACTTTTACTATTACCTAATAAGAGTAACATGGCCCCGATGTCCATACGATGTCTGTTGTATAACGTCACACTCAGCAATATTCCAGCTATATGAAGGCGGTCGATAAAAAATCGAAAATAGGCCAAACAATCCAGTGATTGACATCATGAGCATCGATCTTGGCAATTCGGATACGATGACATGCATCAACCAAGTCAGCGAGCCTGACCTCCCGATCCCGTTAGTCGCCTGGAATAATCATAGTTCTTAGGAGTGTGCAATAATAATTTGCTAAAAGAATATGGAAAATATTTCATGTATGCATTGACGTCGGAATATTAAATCTTTTACAAACGTAACCTACAATTAAGGTATAAAACATTGTTGAATACTCAACGATATATTTATGTATTAATTAGAAACACCGATGTCTTTGGGGCATTAATATTCCTATAATTGTCACAAAGATAAATTTCAATCATTAAAATGAAGTTTATTCATAGAAAGAGGAATTTCTTACATATTTTAGATAATGGGGAGGAACTCAGCGCATCTCACTTGTTAGCACGCAGAGCGTGGAGAGAGAGGTACGGTCTACTCTCGCGTGAACTTAGCGAGCGCGAGGCTTAGGCAAGCGACAACACAACATGGCGGGCCAGAGTGATAGGACGGAGTTACTAGCTGCGATTTTACTAGCGACTTTACTCGCGGTTATAGTTACCACAGATGCCACAGAAGGTATGTACATTGTCATTGTATCAAATTCTATTGATTTTGTACGTATTTTGTTACGTGTGTCAAGGAAACAAGATTTTCACCTGTGTACGGAGTAAGGAAGTGATACCGAAATGCCTCACAATATAAACACTGCCATCTCGGCCTGGTCCCTGCTTCAAGCACAAGTTAACATGGCGTGACTGTTTTTCAAATGTATTGCTGACTCACTCATTCAAGATGGTGTTATGAAAGTGGCCCATACATAACTGTCTCCAAAGAACCCGCACTACCGGGCGATCTTTTTTCAGCTGTCAAAATACCTAGCAATATATTGGCTACGAGGCCTCAGGTGAACGGCCGGAGAAATAAGCATTGTCACTGGCATTTCGTAATCAATATTTTTTCCAATAGCGTTAATAGGTTAAGATAGTTTGTTTGTGTGCTATATAAGGAAGACTATCGTTTTATGACTTAACGTAATTAATAATAGAACGAGACCATAGCGTTCTGATTAAATTCCTAGCCCTACCTGCATGGCTTATGCAAGAAAGAAATTTGCGTCTGCCATGTCACGGCTGAAGTTATTACTATGTTAGGTAAATATTTCATCGAGACTCCAAATAGTCTAGGCCTATTGGATGATCTGGGTTCAAATTATAGCATGGTTGGTTTAAATGTAGACAGGCTGAGTGCCAGCAGTACATTTTATTCATGACTAGAGTGTTCGCATCAGGGAAAAGGATTGTCACCTGTTTTCTCACCTGATAAAATTAAAACTTGTCTGATTCTGAAGCTATACTCCAATACACAGATACAAAAGCAGGAACTTTGGGTATACTGTTCTTGGTAGCATTTGGGTCCACAAAATGGAAATTGATAAGGAGGAATTTTTGGGTGAAAGTTTAAGTTATTAAACCGCTAAAACATATATCACTTAGAAAAATGCTTTCTTTTAAAAATAACCCAGACGTTTTCTTGTACCATTGATTTTTAAATCTGTAGTGGTGTGTTATTTGATTTTACCTAATATGCTCAGCTGAGGACACTACTTTACAATCATAATCAACTATATCCTCTGTACAACATGTACAATAACCAGTTTCTGTAATCTATATACTGTAATCGACGTAATAAGCACCGAGGGCGCTTTCAAAATTAGAAATAGGGGGGTCTTGTTACATGTATTAGAATATTATTTCTATGAAACAAAAAAAGATATGAAAGATCAATTTCGTGGTTTATACTGACAGCCTGAAATGTTTATATACGACAGATATATTTTTCCAGAATTTAATTGCCCATAATTAAGGATGCATATAACACTCTAGTGCGTAGTATACGTGAATAAATAAGTCTTGTGTACATTGATCAATCAGAAGGGGTGCTAATTGGGATTGTTCACTAGCCAATATATTAGCAAATATCACTGTGGGTGCTTATCAGAGCAGGGCGCTTATTACGTCGAATACAGTATTCATTGTAGTGTATCAAAATAGTTATCATTATTCATCCTACATTATGTGACTACACATCGGAAACATTTGAACAGTGTTGCCAAAATCATGAGCTCAATCAAAATCAAGTTCAGAATCTAGTTTTTATAACAACGGGTCAAAAATATTAAATAGATCTGAGGATGAACCTAAAGTTACACAGAAATAGTTTTACATCTGGAATGCCCTCCTGCACTCCACCTCCTGAAAGTGCAGGGTTCCTTGTCACAAGTCTGAAGGATTTAGGTAATTCCTGGGTTAAGGGTGTATGATAGAAAAAAGCAAGGACGCCACGATTCCTTAATTTTGAAAATCATGTCGCTGGAGAGTGACAACTATCTTAATGTTTCTTGCAGCAATGTTGACACTGGCAATCAGTACAGAATGTTAGTTTACTCTACTCTTGAAGTGTGTGGTTCTGACCTTGTCGAATGGTAATGAGATCCCAAAGGAGCTATATACTCTCACACTCTTCTGCACAAAGACATCCCCTTGACAAGACATTGTCGTCTTCAAAGAAGCACCAGATTACATGTATAGCTTGAGCCACAGTCCTCCTATGTAAGGAGCATTTACAACCATGTCATTCTACTTCAAACAGATCCCAAACCCCAGATGAAATATATTTGATTAATGCATGTTTTTATTGTATACAGTTACTACCCTGAAGTGCTAAAAACAGAATCAAGAGTGTTTCGTAGCATCATTTATGAGTTGTTCAGTTCTGTGCTGTATGAGTGCATACTGAAGCCTGATTTGAACCCTTTGTAGAATGCATATGAAACGGACCAATAACCTAAAAATCATCGCCAGGATAATTGCCCTGTTCCTACTAGGGCTTGGACGGGTAACTCGTATATTTGGGTAGAGTTAGTACTGAGTAGGACCCAGGTACCAACAGGACTACCCAGACCCGTGGTTAGTCATGTGATATATTGTTTAATGAGAAAAACTCCATGGTTACCTTCTGTGATCGATACTTGTATCAGGAAGTAAAATATTGTGATGCATCGGTGTATTGTCCCACCACTAGTTCTTAGCATACTTTTCATTATGTGGACTTTCATTATCTGGGCATACAGAGGCCAAACAGACTTTTACTAGACTAGGGCTTCGGACCAGTGGCTAAAGTCACAGACTTTTTGTCAGCATTAGAAACTAACATTTTCAGTTCACTTGTCCTTATAATGATAACATATAGCAAAACCCTTTAAATTGGCAAATTTCTACTAGTCCTAATGATACCTTAGCTATTGGGCAGTTTGGCAAGGACTATCGGACTAGTGTCAATTTCTAATGCTGATTATAGAATAATAAACAAATTTTGATTGATTCCATGACATTTAATTGGAAAACCAACCAATTATTTGTGTGCAGAAGTTTCCATAAACCTGAAAACAAAAAGGGTCACGCCCACAAGACAACTTCTGTTTCCTTATTGGCAGATAAAAGAGTTGGGTGGTTTGTGATCATGGACTTTAGTTTTGTGATTGGGATCATTATGATTAGGTAATCAGTCTTTGGGGTAATTATTGTTGACTTATAATTTATAAGAATTGTTTTTCCACACCTACATATTAACACAGTGTGCTCACCGGGTTTTACATGTGTACTGCCATAAATGCAAAATATATCGAAAACAATTCTTAACTAACGATATAGTGACGGTGATCTGGGTATTAAGTAAAAGATATGAAGTATTCTAATCTTTTCAGTTGAGGTGGTGTTTGTTTCTGTTCGTAATTATGTTAGAGTGTATTATGTATAAAATTGGCTGGTTTTATGGGTGTTTTTTTTACATTTAATCAGAGATATTCTAGTTGCTGTTTCAATTCATAGACATGCCTCAAACACCTCTGAGATTTCAGGATGTGGCTAATTTGAGGATATCAGATTCAGCAGCAGCGATGACAGGGATACACACGCACAGATTTGTGGGAATGTTTGTGTTTTGTGAAGTAATCAGTCGTTATGACTGTTAAAATGGGTCGGATATGTTCGGTCATGTGCCGAAGGACTAAAGCTGTTGTGACGGTGACGGATCGTAGACAAAAGTATTGATTGTGATTCTGTTTAATTAATTGTCTCTCTAAGCCTGTTGAACCATCTACTAGACAACCCTATGATGGGGAAGCGATCACTGTTAAGTTTGCTAATATCGGTCTCAAGCACTGCCTCTCTGATTCTGCTGAGGGTGTTGGTGTTAACTAATTATCAGATCATAGCTCTAGGATAAGTTCAAGAAACACTTCTAAGACGTCTCAACACAGATACATGGAACTGTGAGAAGACTGCAGTAAATTAATTGTCAGACATAGAAAATTAATCCTGAATCAATTAAGTCATTTTAAGGAGTTTCCTGTCAGTGCATTCTCGCTTTTAGTAACGCTATTGCTTTGAAGTTAGGTTACTGCCAGTCTCACTTGTCAGTGGCCATCTACTGATTGCAGTTTAGGAAGGTTCGGTAGAAACAAACCAGTTCAATTACCGATGACTAAATGCTGGTTATACTTATAAGAATAATCATAACTCCTTTGACTGATTGAAGTCACAACATTCAGCATACCTAATTGATAGTATTAGAGGAGTGCTGTATTACTGGTAAGCCACAATTTGAAATACTAGTGAATACGTATCACAACATCTTTGGAAAATACCGATAGATTGCGTTTTTCAAAATCATTCATATTTTCATATTGTTTACATTCACAAGTCAGATTGAAATTATGAATTCAGAAATTAGCAAAGATGTGTAATTTCCATCTTTGTTGGACTAATGAGCTGGTCCACTGGATAGATGCCAGTGTGCATTAATCAGGACCTGTAATTTTAAAATCTATATGGTCTGACTTTCTAGTAGGAGTCATAAAATATCAGGGGGCATGGGTGGCCCAGTTGTCTAAGGCGCCGCGATTCGCTGTGCAGAGTTACATCTGTTAGGCACGCCAGAAACCTATGATTGTGGGTTCGAATCCCGGTTCGCCCCGATTATGTTTCTAGGTTTGTCAGCACCATACCCGTGTTCGTGGGTTTCACCGAAGTGGTAAACGTCTGAGACCTGCATCACTTCGGGCTTTCCTCCCACATTAAGCTGACACGCCGTGATATAACTGGAATACTGTTAAAAGCGGCGTTAAACCCAACTCACTCACTCATAAAATACAATATCTTTATCTTGTTGAACTTGACAAAACTAAACTGTAAACAAATGAAATCGTGTTATTGCAAAATAAATGTGTGAACAAGTTTTTAGGAATATATCTGTTTGACTAATGAGTTTACGGTTCCACTGGTCATGTTAGCATGGTTAGCTTCTTGACAAACACTGTTAAGCCTGGTGAGGTACATACTACTATACTCAGGACTAATCATAGACTAAATATAGTGCTTACGTACCTCAGCTGACATCTGTGTCTGTTTGTGTTTGAGCTAAACATGCTAAAGGGGTCAGTTTTAGAAATTTATATTTTTTGTTCAGTGGTATGAGAAATAGACAGATTTATTTCTGGAATACAAATAGATGAAATG